AGTTCCACTTTCCTCTGTTGGCTTCATTCTCAGGCAGGCTCCCCCTATGTGACAATAAAGATATTTATCAGCAGCAATGGGTTTGTATTATCCTCATAGCTAGAATCCCAACAAATGAGAATGTTCTTTCCCAATAAATCTAGCAAAGTTCCTATGGTGTAATACAATAGGCTTTGCTAGGGTCACATGTCAACAACCCCTGATCCCATCACCTTAGTTCAGAAGAACAATGTACCCTTCTGCTCAGACCTGGGGCTGTGTCCATTCCAGGAACTGAGGTTAAAGTCAGCCTCACCTAAACACTTGGACCAAGAATGGCAAATGCAGTTCCTTGTAGAGAAACTAGACTGGGATGGTCAGGGGAAGCTGAGAAATTTACTCCCATTTCATTTCAGATCCCATCCCCAAGTATGTCCAGTCATGTTATTCAACATAGGATATCAAAGTCCAAAGGCATTAAAATCCAAAACCAAACTCTCTGAATTTAAAGGACTCAAAGTTCTCTTTGATTTCGTGCTCTGTTCGTTCTGAGCTATAGCAGTTTTTCCATTGGCAACTGTGATCTGAGATATTTCTCACTAGAATTGGGGTAGTTATCCCAGGCAAAAATGTTGTTCCCAGAATACAGTATTTTCTGAGATTTAATGATTCCAAAATAGGAAGGTAAGATAGATTGCTGTCATGAGAATGCCAGGGAGTCTATGCAATTGTCCAGAATCCATGGTCTGTGAACCTAAACTCAACTAGGAGACACCTCCCCACAGAAAATTAATTTAGGCACTGTACATGTACCATATTTGAGGTGGGGGAACCTCCTACATAAATGGTCTTCTTTCTTACAGAATAAATTTGAGATATTGCTGCCTTCTGGTAACATTATAAATCTGCAACAAGGACAACCCAAGTACCAACTCTCATCTGAAATTTCTTTCTTTGTCATCCCGTGGATCCCAGCAGATGTCCATTTCCCCTTTCTGGGTTCCCAGCACCCATGTGCTGCATGATGGTTAGTTCTATCTAGTAACTAACACACCCTCCACAATACCTCGGGGCAGGCAACTGCCTTTTCAGTCTCATATTTCAGTGGCCGCTACCATTGCCCTTATTGGGGATTCGCTTATGTCTGACACACTCGCCTTTAAAGGAAGTTTTCACTCCTTCTCACTTTTATTTCACCCAGAAGAGCTCCTTTTTCAGATTCCCAAACTGAAGCTGCTTTTGGTGCTTCTTATTGTGGGGCCTAGGGATAGCACTGGTACCTCTGCCACGTGTTCTCATGATACCAGTATGCCCGGCTCTCCTCCACTTTCACATTCTGTAAAGTTCTCAGACATGTTCCCTCAGGGTGCTGGCAATGCCTACTTGCTTACTTCCTGCATTACCTAGAAGCTCAGAAACTCATTACTATTTTCACTTTGAATATGCAAAATGGCAGATTCATTACCCCCTTTCCCCTGGTCCCCAATATCCAGATTTTTTAAGTATTCACATCTCCTTCACAGAGTCCTTATGTTTTCAGGAACCATGCTACTACCTCTATCTCTGGAAATGGCCCATTTGGTCTAAGCCAAGCTGCAAGATCCATTCCTCCAGCAAAAGTTACTGGCGGGCATGTGACCTAAGCGAGTCCAATTAGGACCCAGCCAGGACTGCTAAGCAAGCTCCAGAAAAGCACTTTCTCCCCCTACTGGTCATGAAAATGGAAGCATGTAGCTGGCAGCCATCTTATAAGTGAGGAGTACATGATAGAACTTGGATGGAAAAATAATTGTTGTCTTCATCAAACTGTCACCTTGAAGGACTATTCAAGGTGACTATTTTTGGACTATTCCAAAAATACTCGACCAAACTAACTGAGAGACTCCTATTTGAGAGTAGAGTTCCAAGGTATATTCCTTTTTATACATTTATATTAACTGGTGGAAAAGTCCAGTCCTCTGAGGGTGGGTTTTATTTTTTAAACACCTAGAGAAGTTACTCAGACTCAAGAGTAAATAAGTAGGCGATCAGTTTGAGTAACAGAATTTCTGTGTTTTTAAAAGAGGAGAACTTTTTACTAGTGAGTAGTTTCCTAGTGGCTAAAACAATGGTCCCAAAGGCAGTATCTCTTTTTGAGCAAATATAACCACTTTCATTCATTGTGAGAAGAAAATGGCTTCAATTCTTAATTGCATCTTAGGGAATTCTGGTTTTGCTCTGACATTTTTAAATATTTAGGTTCTACTGTTATCTCAAAATAGCAAATCCTTAAAAAATAAAATAAAATTAGCACCTGAACATTCCTTCTTAAGGGCTAAAACCACAAGTTAACTTTGTCAAATTGCCAAGGCAACCAAGAAGACTGCCATATTAACACCTGCGTGTGACATCATCGAGCACAGACATTGTAAAGAGGATGTTTAGATGCTGAATGTGTACTCTGCATAATCTGGTGCTCTCAGCCAGCCAAGCAGGATAGATGCCAGATGGTTTCATATCTGTGGGGCCTCCCATATATCATACATGCATGCTGTGTTCCTATTTTATAGAATTAACTGTTACCACTTCCTTATTATCCATTCCAACAAACTAGATAGATATAATAAAGCATCGTAAGAATCATTTAATACATTTCAGTTCTCCACGAAGTACTATTCCCATACCAATCTAAAGACAAAATTTGGTCCTATTTTTAAAAAATACCTCCAATGAAGGAGTGTTCATCGGTAATTTATTTCAGAATCAAGGATTGTAAAACTCTGGTTTTTGTTATACCAAATAATCACACAATTTTTTTATGACCATGGTAAGAAATATTAATATATAGTAGAGAGCTTAACAATATCTTTTCTGAGGATTACTCCTTGTGAAACTTACTTGTTTAAACAAACTGATAGGACATAAGGAAGTCTGATTCTTTAATAATCCAGCAAGCTTTTCTTTACACATTTACTTGTAATATTTTGAGAGGAACAAATAATTAAGAGGAATTTTTCTTCAGAGTTTGACATTCCTAATCCAAACTAGAAAATGATCATATGATCTAGTCTAGTATCTTTCTCCAGAGATGCTCTATAAACAGCCATCTCACTTGTCTGCATGAGGCAAACATGAAGTCAAGAATGTGTGTTTCACTTGTTACTTTAGAAATGAATTTGTAAGGTACCTAATGGAGAGCCAGAGCTTCTCCATATGTAAACAAAGTGACAAAAACAATTTTAAGAAGTTTTGCCATCTTTTAAGATGATTCAATTGCCTAAGTCTAAAACAATAAAATAAAATGGTTATAGGACCAAACACAAGAGAAAAGTTAGTGAATAGGAGTCTTTCCTTTTAATTTCTTCTGATTAAAATTAAAAAGCACCTATTATATGGAAGGAAACAAGAGGTATGATATAAATTTAATTGCACATAGTGCCTAGCGTATAACATGGGAAACCTAAAGAAAGTCTATCTCCCAAACAAATATGACAATGAGTCATTAAAACTGTAAACCGTTTTATTACCAATGATGTCAGTACTCAAAGTTGTCCAGTTAAAACTATAAGAATTCTAGAATAACATATTGTAAAAGCTCTTCCAGATGTCAGCCTAGGCAAAGAATTTATGGAGAAGACCTCAAAGGCAATCAAAGCAACAAGGAAAATTAATAAATGGGACTTGATTAAATTAAAAAGCTTCTGCACAGCCTAGGAAACAATCAATAGAGCCAACAGACAACATACAGAATGGGAGAAAATATTTGCATGCTACATATCCAATAAAGGGCTAATAAAACCAGAATCTACAAAGAACTCAAACAAATCAGCAAGAAAAAAATCAAACAACCCCATAAAAAAGTGGGCAAAAGACATGAACAGAAGCTTTTCAAAAGAAGATAGACTAATGGCCAAGAAACATAAGAAAAATTGCTCAATGTCTCTAATCATCAGGGAAATACAAATCAAAACCACAAGGAGATATCACCTAACTTCAGTGAGAATAGCTTTTATCAAAAAGTCCCAAAATGACAGACGCTGGCATGGAGGCAGAGAGAAAGGAACACTTATACACTGTTGGTGGGACTGAAACTGGTACAGATTCTATGGAAGATAGTATGGAGATTCCTTAAAAAACTAAAAGTAGACCTACCATTTGATCCAGATGTCCCATTATTGGATATTTTCCCAAAGGAAAAAAGTCATTTTATGAAAAAAACACTTGCACTTGAATGTTTATTGCAGTACAATTCACAATCACAAAGATGTGGAATCAACCCAAGTGCCCACCAATACATGAGTGGATTAATAAAATGTGGTATATGTATAGTATGGAGTACTACTTGGGAATAAAAAATGGTAAACTGATACCTTTTATAACAACCTGGATGCAACTGGATACCATTCTTCTAAGTGAGATATCACAAGAATGGAAAAACAAATGCCACATGTACTCACTATTAAACTGGAACTAATCAGTCAACACTCATGTGCATATATGGTAATAAAACTCAACGGAAATCAAGCAGGTGGGAAAAGGGAGGAGGGGATGTGTAAAATCGCACCTAATGGGTACAGTGCACACTATCTGGTGATGGGCACACTTATAACTTGGACTCAAACTGTACAAAAGTAATTAATGTAGCCAAAACATTTGTACCCCCATAATATTCTGATTTTTTCAAAAAATAAACCTACTTCCTCTTGCAAAAGAAAAATGCACTGAAAGAAGATACAAAGTGCTTGCGAGGGGTATCTGGATTCCACAGTATAGATCATGGGACAGTGAGCCATGGGGAAACCAAAGAAGCTTGAAAAGGAACAGCTGTGAGTGCCAAAGAAGAGAAGATCTGAGCAGGACCATCAGTAGAAGTGAAAATGGAGAAACCTGAGAAAACCAGTGTTGGAATGAACTGCACAAGTAGAAAATACATCTGCAGAGGGACTAGATAGCAGGACCCAGATCTAACTCCAAGTACATGAGTAAAAAAAAATAATTCTAAGATTCGAACCCTAAAAAATGAGATTACAAGCCTAGTCATGTAAAGGCTAGGAGTTCTCTTCTTTGTTCATCACCTTTACTTTCTCTATATGCCTACTAAGCAGAAGGTCAGTAACAGCAAATTTGCTCTTTTCTCTCTTGGTTTCAATTTTATAGTGGGATCAGAAGAGGCTGTGGATCAGTTGAGATTACAGCAGGAAGAGCTTATTGAAGCAGGGTTGACAGTAGGTCTTGTCATTCTGCTCCCTGAAGATGCCCTTTGACAACTGTGTCAGGCAGAAAGCACAGACAAAGTGCTCAGGATGGAACTTGTGCCCCATGGCACTGATACAGCGGCCAGTGATGGGCTGTCCACACCCGCGGCAGAGGGTTCCTCGGCGGTGATGGTAATGGAGCTCACAGAACGGACGCCCATCCAGTTCAAAGAAGGAGCCGGTAGAAAAACTGCTGAAGCAGTCCTGAGAGCGGAGATAAGAGAAAAAGAATACGGATGTCAAGTGGTGAAATGTCAGCAAAGTAAAATTTGCACCCCTGAAATTCCTGCTAGTTATAAGAATTTCACTTGGTCCTTGACAAATGGAGTTTCAATTGCCCACTTGCAAAACAAAATAATGCCCACAATGGATGCTGTGTCATGTTTCTCCACTAGGAAGCCCACATTAGTTCCTCATCCAGGACTGTGAACCAACCCTTTTATCAGCTGCAGCTCTTCCTCTCAGATAGGAAAACCCTTGACTTTCCCTAAATCTGAAAGATAAGTGAATATACAGACCCCGCACACAAAGCACTCTGGGTGCCAGACGGTGTCCATGGCTGAAAGGTAGTTTTCCAACACTGGGCGGTTGCAGCCACCACACTTGGGTGAGAACATGGCTAAGAAATCCTTGCGGCAATAAGGCTTCTTGTCCTTCTCAAGAAAGCCTGGAAAGATAAAATCAAGGATTCACTGGTGCAGTTTGAGCCCTTAATCCTACCTTGGAGGCTAAGAAAAAGCCATTCATCCAAACTCTCCCAGCCTTAGAGTCATACTCAAGCCGGGTTAATTACAGATACCTACCTCAAAGGATTGTTGTAAGAAATAAATGAGATAATGCAGGTAAAGTGTTACGGCATTGTGCCTGGCTCATAGTAAGCATTTAATGAGTATGCAAAAATGTTTAGATTAAAATAGTAAGTGAAAAAGTAAGACACGAGCTATGTTTAAAAATGCAATATGGTATCCCAGATTGGATCCTGGAACAGGAAAAGGTCATTGGTGGAAAAACTGGTGGAATCCAAATAAAATCTGAAATTCTGTTCAAAGTAAAATAAATAAACAATAAAGACTGCTTGATTCTACACTAAAAAAAAATAAGTAAATAAATAAGGACTATTATTCCTCAATGCCTTTGTACTAGGTTTTCCATTGCTCTGGGTAGTTCTGCCCAGGACTGGCCTCTTCTTGTGATTCAGGAATCAGCTGAAGTATCATCTTATCAGAGAGGCATCTCTTCAGTCCCTTCTTGTCACTTTATTCTTTTTTTAATTGTCTTTATAGCATTTGCCATTACCTGAAATCATCTTTACATTCTGTCACTGGAACATTAGCTCTGAGTGAAACTAGATATTGTTGGTCTTGTCACCATTTATATACCCAGTATCTAAAACAGCATCTGGGGGGAAAGAGTGTCTAATATTTTAAAATAAAATACTACTAAATAATAATTTCCAAATGACTGTGAGATCTAAACATAACAATTCAAACCATATTCTTTACTTAAAAATAGATGGATTCCTCCTTAACCTGGAAAGGGGAAAATTGTCATAAATAGAGCTCAGATTTCAAAGGCAAGTTAAAAATTAATAAATTTAGCTACATAAAAATGTATGTATGGATGACTTATCATGTCAAAAAGAAAAAGACACTCTAAGCAATGTCAAATCCAAAGGGCAATCTGAGAAAGATATTTGCTAATACATCCCAGAAAAAAATATAGTTAATACAGAGAACTCCTAAATGTATGTATGGCTTCAATTATTGTATAAAATTAAAAAGTGAAAACATTAAGATGAAAAATATCAATCCCCAAAACATTGAATCAAGTTGAAATGAATTAATTTAACTATATATCAAATAGATGACATGGCCAAAGCAGAAAATAATTCATTCTGTGGCTTTAAAACACTGTCTTGACCATGCAGTCATCAATGGATGCATTCTAAAGACAAAGAGTGCTACAAAGAAATCTTAAACTGTTTTCACTCATACTGGAGGTTTGCTAGGAGAGTAGATTTTGATGCTGTTACTACCCACACATCAGAAGAGTAACTATGAGACAGAATGCATATGTTAATTTGCTTGATTACAGTAACTATTTTACTAGATACAACTATATCAAACCATCATGTTGTACATCTTGAATATATACAATAAATGTAATCTGGTTATTTGCAATATTTATATGCTTTTTGGAAATTGCTATAGGTAGATTGTATAATAAAGCAAATCATTAATTATATGAATGCCTTTGGATTCATATAATAGCAATTTATATTATTATAATATTATTATATTAATTATTATTATTAATATAATATTATATTAATTATTGTATTATATATTATTATATTAATCATAGCAAAATTTCCAGCATAAAAAAATACAAGTATAATATCAAACAAAAAACTATATTGTTATACTTAAATCAGAAATATTAGTATAAACACATGACTTATTTTTCTGTTTTAAAAAAATCAATTCTGGCCGGGCGCGGTGGCTCACGCCTGTAATCCTAGCACTCTGGGAAGCCGAGGCGGGCAGATTGCTCCAGGTTGGGAGTTCGAAACCATCTTGAGCGAGACCCCGTCTCTACTAAAAATAGAAAGAAATTAATTGACCAACTAAAAATATATATACAAAAAATTAGCCGGGCATGGTGGTGCATGCCTGTAGTCCCAGCTACTCGGGAGGCTGAGGCAGGAGGATAGCTTGAGCCCAGGAGTTTGAGGTTGCTGTGAGCTAGGCTGACGCCACGGCACTCACTCTAGCCAGGGCAACAAAAGTGAGACTCTGTCTCCAAAAAAAAAAAAAAAATCAATTCTAACCTTTGTTCACTAGAAAACCTAGAAGAAATGACATCCCAGAACTAATTACCCCTCCTAGTTTTTAAACACCCCCAGTGAAGCAGTCTTTTTGGAGAAAGGGAAGATTCCAAGTATGGGGCAGCGCTGACATGATGAGCCTAATATATCTTGATGTGGCAAGGAAATAGAAAGATACCATAGATTATAGGGGTCATGTGGAAAAGATACAGTAACCAACTTGAAGGAGTTAATTCTGGCCTCAGATAAACCAATTCGACCATAAGAAAAAAAAATACTGCACTTCATCAAATCACATCAAGTATGTATAACTTCATGAGTTCATAATGGTTTTTAAAAAATAAAAATTCATTAGTCTCCATTGGGTGTTGTAAATAAACTCACATAACTCTCATAATTACTGTTACAAAGGGAAAAAGTCAAACATTTATTCCACCTTTCCTGTATGAAATGTATTGCGAGATAACCAAATAGTTGATGACAGAAAGTTAGTTTTTATAGGATTCCAGCTAACAAATATAAAAGGAATGATAAAAAAGAAAAACTCAGCATTTTCCTACCTAGACCATTGAATCAGGAAACAATCATCAATGGGGGACTTTAAAATGGAGGGATCAGGCTGACACTGCTTAAAACCAGTGGTCAACCGGTCATTAACACCTTTTGATGTGATTCAATAAGAAGTGCACAGCACCCATCACCTGTAACCTACTCTTGTCCCCCAAACTCCCCAAAACTGAATCTAAACCTAACCATCTCTAGGTCTAAATTAATAATTTATGGAAAATATAGGAGATGGGAGGGAATAAAGAAAATAAGTTAAACAGTATCATGAGCAGGCAGCCAGTCAGGTCAAGAATCTGAGACATTTTTATAGGATATAGGTTCCAGATCCAGAACAAATCAATGGTATAAAAAAGTGGGGAAGAGAAGACTACTAATAGAATTTTAAAAATTTGAAACACAAAACAGACAAATGCAATGCATACGCCTTGTTTGGATTCTAATTCAAACAAACCAAGTCTATGACATTTTATTTTTAGAAATTTGAACATGAGTTTTAATGATAATAAAGAATTGTTAATTTTTTACTCTAAATGTAGTTTTTTAAAAGTCTTTATTAGTAACGGATGAAGTGTTTAATTATGAGATGACATGACTTCTAGAACTTGCTTTTTTTTTTTTTTTTTGAGACAGGGTCTCACTCTGTCATCCCTGCTAGAGTGCAGTGACATCATCATAGTTCACTGCAACATTAAACTCCTGGGCTCAGTTATCCTCCTGCTTCATCCTCCCAAGGAGCTGGGACTATAGGTGCACACCACCACAGCTGGCTAATTTTTTCTATTTTTAGAGATGGGGGGTCTCACTTCTGCTCAGGTTCGTCTCAAACTCCTGACCTCAAGCGATCCTCCAGCCTTGGTCTCCCAGAGTGCTAGGATTACAGGCATGGCCCACCAATCCCAGCCTAGAACTTGCTTTTAACTATTCTAGCAAGAGAAAAAATGTGGGTGAGTGGGTGGGGGTTAATAGAGAAATCAGTTTAGGAAAACATTGCTACTTATTGTAGCCAGGTGAGGAAGAACTTTTGTGTTTAAAATTTTCTGTAATAAAAAAGTTTAAAAAGCATTTGTTAAGATATAAGCACTTGCTCTTTAATACATGAAATTTTCACTGTTAGACAAATATTAGAAAATTCCTGGTTTGAGTCTTACTGATCCTATGTCTAGATAATGGACTTATACTGAAGATGAGAAACCGGTGGTGATTTTTTAAACCTGTTAAAATAAGTCTACTTTACAAATAGATGAATAATGCAAGAAGAAATACTTTTAACTGTAATGTGTTGGATATTATGAGTAAGCCATGAAACTCAAAAGAGAACAACGATATTCTAATTTTTGCTACTTAGTAGTTTAATTTCTAATTTATCTAAGTAGTAAAAAGAGTGTTAAGTAAATATCCCCAATGCTGGAAAATATATAGAGTGATCCACATATTCATATATTCCTTGCAATAGTTATTATCCTTTTGGAAAGTCATTTAATAATGTGTATCAAGGATAAAACAAAAGATACAGACATCCCAATCCTGGAAATTAATCCATACAAATAATTCAAAGAAGAAAATATTATGTTTAAAGATAGTCATTGCAACACTACCAAAACACCAGAATTAATCTAAATACTATACTACTATTAACACATTTACTTGTTTGCAATATTTGGAACTACAAATAATGCTTCAATAAACATCTTCAGGCATATAGCAATTTATCTCTTATAATTTCTTCACATAAAACCCTCATGGAATAACTGATATTGTTAAAATTATCATGAAACTATGAAACAACATGGAGAAATGCTTAAAAAAGAAAAAAAAAGTAGATACACAATAACTTATGTATGCCTAACTGTGAATAAATATAGAAAAACATTGTTAGGGGAAATTTTTTAATATTGCTTTAAGTGAACAGGGTAATAAGTTATAAGTGGAAATTTCTGCAAAGTCTTTTTATTGTCTTTACATCAAAAAAAAAGAAAAACATAATAAACTAATTCATCGTCAAGTACTTATTCAAGTGATATGTTCCCTCTGCTTTGAAACTCACTTTCCTGAGGCACCCATATGGCTTAGTCCTTCACTTAACTCATGGATCTGCTTCAGAGAGCAACTGACTCCACCACCCTATCTTAAATAGATCCTTATCATCCTCTCTCTTTACATACAGGTAAGTTAGTGGTGGGACTAGTTTGATTATTGTCTCTCTCTCTCCCACTAGAATGTATTCATCACGAGGGCAGGAACTCTCTTTTTTTTGTCACTGTGTCCCTAGTACCTAGAATAATACTTCATACATTATATAGTAGTTGCTCAGTAAATATGTAGTGAACAAACCAACATGTGAACAATATTACAATAGCAAAATTGAGACCATCAGCTCCAGAAGCATGTAGTAGTTTAGAGTCTCACTTCAGCATTGACTAGAATAAAGCAAATGACATAAAACTGAGCTTGCCTGTAAGTAGGTATCACTTGATAAAACTACAAGACCTGCCAACTAACCTAGCAATGACCCTCCTCGAGGCATTTGCAGGGCAGCTGGTTTCAAGAGTGGGACAGCAGGGAAGTAACAGCCTCTGTTTCAACTTGGGTGAGTCTCAGGAGAGGAGTCAAAAGCAATCAGCCAAACTTGCTGTGATAACCCTGTATTTCGTAATCTAATAAATTATGAAAGTTTCTGCACTTACTTTCCTGGAGGCTCTCTCTGGGGCCAATTACCTCTGGAGGATGAGCAAGAAACACTAACAATTAAAAGTGCCATGGAGAGAAGGAAGGTGTTTATACTCCGGTGAGGCTCTTAGCCACAGGGGAAATTAGCAGCACCCGCATGGCCTGAATAATGAACAATTAAAAAGAAACACAGGTAGGCACAGAGGACCTCATCCCTGCGGGAGGATGCTAAGGCCCGATGTGCTTAAAAATTTGAGCCTTAAAGAGGAATTCTCTGAACCGAAGAAAAAATGCAGATGAATTTAATTTCCCAGGAGGCTCGGTGGTTAAACTGTCATTATAGAAACTCTGTGTGTGACTATGTGGCTTGGGGTAAGGCAAGATGGCACCTAATTAATGGACTGACCATATGGTGGGAGACCCATTTACAGAAAGCCAGAGATAAAGATGGAAATACAACCAAAGAGGAGCTTCTGATTAGTTAAATGGCCCTTTTTGTCAGATGTCTCCATTTATAAATGTGTTTTAAGTGCAGTTTCATGTTTACGTAAAGTCAAAAATGACCTGATCAGCCTTGTCTGATTATAAGGTGCCAAGTCAAGCACAATAAGAACAAGCTAACTTCATGGTGCTCTCTGGTCATCCTATGGATGGGGTATTTGTCTTTTATACCTAACTGTGTCTCTACTTGAAATGTGCCTGTATCCTGTTATTCTGCTCCCATGCAACTCCCACATCATAACCATCCCCAAAACAGTATGCACCTGCTGACTAATACTATTCAACTAATTCTAATGGCTACCAGTACAATATAAATTTACTGTGACACATGTTAATGTGATTTATATTAAGTCTCAATTAAAAATGATGCTGAACTAAAGTGTGATCTAGAAATGAAATACCTAATGATTTGTGAAAAGCATTGAGCAAGCTCCAGTGAACAAGCAAATTAGTACAAAGCACCTGCTAGTGGATGATGTCAGTGCTACTGTATCCGGGTCTATTGTCAAAGAAAGCGTATCATGTTGGCACCAAGGAGTAAAGAGATCCAACAGCAGAAGAGGAATTGAAGCTCAGTCAAGGGGCAGTTGTGATGTTTTAGAGAAAACATGGAACATGCAGAAATGACACCTGAGTTAAAATTTTACCTCTTTGCCTTCACAGTCAAGTGACTTTCAGAAAATTGCTTTACCTACAAGAGGCTCTGTGTTATCATCAATAACGAGGTATAATGTGGAATAAAATTGCCCCCACAAGGTGTGGTGGGAATTAAACGGATGACTAGTAGCAGCATACATAATGACATGTCTGATATTTAGGACAGTCCTCATGTTGGTGAAGGGCCTGAACACATGGAATTTTCTTCACTCCTTCCTGAAACATCACTAACATGACAGTTAAGGATTTATATACTATAAAGAGCTATATGGGAAAAGATAAAAGCAAGGGAGATGCCATGAGACGAGAAATCGATAAAATTTTCAAGAATTTAAAGTAGGTTATAAGAGTATCAACTGGCTTGACATAAATAAGAAAACTGGGACCTAAAACTCCACAGATGGGACACAGCAATAAGAACCAAGCCATCGGGGGGCCACAACATCACAGGGGCTCAGGAATTGAATGGATGACGCACTCTTTGAGGCTAGAAGCAGGACTGGCTGGAAGTCTGAAAAGCCATTAGAATGTCAGATGCCCCACCCCACCATAAGATGTAGTGATTACTTTTGAAAATATTGAACTAGAGAGTCTCAATGATCGGGGATACTGGATGCCACAAAGAAAGGAGTCAAGTTCTGAACTGAAAAATGAGAAGTTGACATACTGAAGGGTGGAAAACTCCATTCCCCATTCCTTTCTTTTTTTTTTTTTTTTTCAAAATCTCAGAATGCGAGCAGAGAAATCTCTTTGGTAAAATTGACTTGAGGAAAGACCTAAGATCGTAATATTCAGGGGCCCCCAACAAAATGGCCAGAGCATCCTTTCTGAGTACCATATAGTTGAGTCCACTTGTCAGAAAGTTTCGTCTATACTCAGAAAGCTTCCAATCAGTATTTTAATGTCTTGTTCTTAAATAGGAACAGACAACCAAGGATCAGCAGCATTTGACAAAAACCAATGTAAAAATATGTAAGGTATCAAGATGGAACAGATACCAGATTCCAAATTGAGTTGCAAGACATCCCTCCAAACAGATAGCCAAAGACTGTTTGCACAAGTCTTCAATTCCTCACTCACACTGAGGATACACAACAGGTAAAGAAAAAGGAAAATTGGGAGAGAGATTCCTTTAGATAAAACTGTGCTATCTATTTATTCTCACCCCCATCACCAAGAGGGATGAGGTATGGTTAGCAATAACCTCAGGTCAAGAGAGGGACTTGAATGGGACCACTCAGAGAGGAGGACATGTGTGCCTTGCCATTAGTGGGAGACAGTTGATGGCATCTGACTCAGCCCTGGAAAAAGTCCACAGGAGAGTCAGGCTGAAGGGGTTGGTAGCAGCAGAATAGACAGGAACCTGAAAATTAAATGCAATTCCATTGACTTCAAGAGAAAAGTACAAGTTTCCTGTGGTCCTTCTATAAAATTCTAGTGGAAGAGATGATATGGAACCATTTTAATTATTTCGAAGGGATCACAAAGAGTGAACAACGAAAACTTCATGAAAAAAAAAAAAATCTCTATAGGACAGATCCTCAAAGGAAGGTGACAAGGAGAGAATAGCTAGCCAAGACATGTAAAGGGAAACCAGGAGTCCACTGCTGAACCTTTACTTAATCCACAAAGCATCCAAGAAAAAAAAAGTCAGAGTTAAATATTTGCCAGGCCTGGAGAGTGGAACACCAATTTAACAACAATCCTAGTTAAGTTAGAACTTTCCTGCTTTCCATTCTCATCCCCTTCCTCCCCAGTGTTTCAACCCCAGATGGGCCACATATCAAGATCAGCAATTAGGATGAGGGTGGTGGATACCAAAGACAGATCAGCAGAGGTGAAAGGCTACACCCCTGTCCTGGCCTCCTGCACCTTGAAGGCCCTACCAGCAAGAGGAAGTAGCTGTCACTTTTTAAAAGTTAGAAGCTTTAGCTATTACATAGACTGAATTACCCAATAACTTGTTTTTTGTGTTTTGTGCCTTAAATTTATTTTATGTTTATTAAATTTATTATATTGTTTATTAAGAGTAATCAGAAAATATAGGGGACTGTCCAAGTTTATTTAGAAGAGAGGAGAAAACCTTCCCCACTGAGTTAATTCTAAAAGGACAGGAAAAGACAAAATAAAGAACCCATTTGCTACACAGCTTACTTGTGAGCAATATTTGCATGATTGGTAACATGTACATGCTGCATACCAATCCAACCTGTATTAATCACATAATTATATATAGGAGAATGCAGAGGAGAAATATATCAGGAGTGAGTGGGATAGTAACAGCATTCCTAAATATCAACTTCCCTGACAGTCAATGTATAATGGTTAAAGGCATAAAAGTAAAATAATCTATAAGAATATACATTATTATTTAAAACACACATGTAAATAATAGAAGAAACAGCTAAAAGATTTTAGAGAAGAGAACTGGACCTGTGAATGGGAAAGGGAAAAGCAGGGTACTTTCTTTTTGCATATTACCCTTGAAGCAATATTTGAGTCTTTAAATTATGCATTTGTATTTGTTTGATTGAAAAATCAATTTAAACAAAAATTATAATGTTGGAGAAAGGTATGGAGGGATGACATCCAGTACTGAAATGGGCATTTGGATGGATGGCAGTAGCAGGGGCCAGGACTCCCATGGCCCAAGGGCAAAAGGCTACCAGGAAAAGCACTGCTGGCCCCCTCATAACTACCCCTGGGGTGTGCGGTGCAGCCTGCCTGGTCAGGTTGTACCTTCTGTGCCAAACACCTCTCCACAGTGAGAGCAGAAGAAGTGCTCTGGGTGCCAGGTCTGGTTCAATGCCGTCAGCACTTTCTGGAAAAGGAACACACAGAGAGATATTAGAATACTGCAGAGCTGTAAAACATGACCTTGGCTCTATGTGAGTGATTAAAAGCTACGTGGAAGCTGGGTGGTGGGTGGTGGGGGTGGGGTTGAGGGGTGGGGAGGGAAGGGAGGCTTTACTTACATCCAGGATGGGAGCAGCACAGTACGCACAGCGTGGAGAAAAGAGCTGGTGGTAGTCCTTGGGGCAGTAGGCCAAGCCACTCCGCTCAAAGAAGGGACTAGAGCCAATCTCTTCTTTGCAGTGAGTACAGATGAAGTGCTCTGGATGCCAGGATTGCCCTAGAGCATGGATCACCTGGGGAGTGAAATGAAGCCCGACACGGGAGCCCATGTGAGTGTTCTAGGACCTACAGGTTGCACAACTCTAGAGGGCACTCTTCACACTGTACAACACGTAGACAGCACCTCCCGGAGTTACACAACACTGAGGCCTAGACCTAGGTTCCACCCAGGATGGTCTGTGGTCTGTGCCTTCTGGAGAGTAAGGGGATGCTCACTTGCCTGGCTGGTCACTCTGATAAAAGCCTATAAATGTTTGCTGCCACTCCACTGCCCCAGAGGGTGGTAGAAACAACACAGGCACAAGGGTGATAGACAAAACTACAGCCTTGCAATGGGAGGGACTCCAGGAAGCGATAAACTCCCATGACAGTCTTTATTCCTCTAGTCTGAACACTTCATTTCGCACTCCATGCAGAGTGAGGTCTCTAAGCCCTTTATCACGGCTTTGGTGAAGGATGACGCAGAGCAGGAGTTTGTAGCTACGATTTGAAGCTGAGTTCAGCTGAAAATTGTCATCAATAAATTTAGAACAGGTATGTTTGAACAGAGGAAGCAATTAGAAAGATCTCGGTAAAGGCCATACGGAAAAACGGTTAAGAACTCAAACTCGGGAGACAGACTCTCCTGGTATCAAATCTTATTAATACCTCTCCCTCTCCTGGACCTTGGGCATGTCAGTTAACGTCTCTGAGCCCTCAGTTTCCTTATATGTACAAAGGGAAGAATAAGCCCTTGGGCTGCTGATGTGACCATTAAACAAGGTAGTATTTGTAAAGTACTTAGCTCAGAGACCAGAGCACTATAAGTGATCAGTAATTATGGACAATTACTAAACTGTCTTAGAACATAAGGAGAAAGAGCAAGCCTTAGAGGGACAGACACAGACATACATGCAGACACAGATGGCCATAGGACAAAAATGTTGGCCATCCCACCTTCCCAGCAATCGGTTTCTGGCAGGAGGCACAGTGGCCCTTGGGCACTGTGGCAATGCCGAGGTCCTGTAAGTCCTGTTCCAAGCCCCCAAGCATTGAGTCCAGGGAGGCCTTGTGATCCTGCTTGTCTGGTAAGTGCTTCTTGCCAGCATCTGCTTTCACTGCAACCTGGTGCAAGGAAAGAACCATGAAAAGTTAGATACGGAGATAGAAACAACAGAGGGCAGAAGAGTGAGGAGAAATTGGTTTAGATGAAGGTGATCAGAGATGGTCCCCCTGAGGAAGTAATATCTGAGCAGATATTTGAGTGGTATACTTGGGGACCCAGAAATATTGACATTTATGGGAAAATCATCCAGAGGAAGGGAAGGCCCTGAGAAAGAAAATAATTTGGCACAAAGAGTGCCACAGAGTCAAAAAAGACCAGCGGGGCTAGAGCAGAGGGGGTGAGACTGAGCATGACAGGAGAAGATGAAGGAGAGAGACACAAAGATTATAGAGGGCCCTTGTGGTGACAGCTTGGATTTTATTCCAAGGTGATGGGAGGAGCCCTTGTAGGATTTCAAGCATGTGAGTAAAGGAATCCGGTTTATAATATCCTTGTGGCAGCTGAGCATAGAATTAAGTGTCGTCAAGCAATAGTGGATGCTGGGCAACTATTACATAATTACTTAGACCAGTGTTAGGAGAGAAGGTACTGAGAAGTGGTCGGATAAGACTTGTTGACGGATTGGATTTATTTAAGCAAAACTCCAAAATAATTATCATAAGCCATTCAAGGGAAGATCCTCAAATTACAAAAAAGATGCCTAACCTATCCTTCCTCACTTTGTGTCCTGATGCTGGCTCTCTCTACTCCTTTCCAACCGGGCTCCTGCTACCACCCTCTACCTAACATTTCTCTGATCAGAAAACTACAGTGTCTCTCCGTTGCCTCCACATCAAGTGTGCACTCATCAGACAGGTGTTCAAAGCCGCCCATCCACTGTTCTCACCTGACTTCCTATCTCATCTTTTATTACGCAGTAAAAGCCTCCGTTGTTCAAGGCCAGCGGCTCTGTACAATCTCCTGAAAGTAATCTGCTACTCTCTGCCTTGAGGCCTCTACTTGTACTATTTTTACTGCCTGTAATAACCTCACATTATAACACCAATCAAAATGCTCATTTCCCTTTAAGAAACTTTGATCATCTGACAGAGTTCCTTCCTGCTTTATTATATAATGTTAGTTAATGTTCAAGAGGCTAGTGTTCAAAAGGTTGTTGTCTGCAAGGCCTGTTAAGGGTGACTAATATTAAGTATGAAAAAAACTAAGTAAAAAGACAACGATATATCTATATCTACATCCACATCTCTCCCTCTCTCTCTTTGCTTGTACATTTCAGAATTCTTCTGAACAGGCATGTAAGGAACAAGAAATACTGAGTATCTCCCAAGGGTAGAACTGGATGGCTAGGGGGCAGAGGTGATAGGGAACAGTTCAGTGTGAACTTTTCTTTGTATTTTCCATTTTTGTACAAGAGGAATATGTGACTTATTCAAAAAATAAACAGGCATTTTAAATTAAAAAGTTAAATAAACCAAGATGCATGATAAATCTATTAGAAAATACAACACAATTAAATCTTCTAATGTAAATTTTTTCTAGTATTTTCAGACATAAAGTACAATGAGCCAATCCACTAGCTTTATTGTAGACATAAGCCCGTCAAAGGACTTTTCAGCCATTAAAGAAAACTGTTTGTGATGTCTATTCATGTGTCCTTCTATTAAATATATGCTAATCACTGTATACCAGGCACTATGTTGGGCATGGAGAGTCCCAAGGTGGGCCACCAAGATAAAGTCCCTGTCCTCCCCAATCACAGACATTTTTATATATTGCCTTAAAATTATTTCATAGCCTCATCATGAGCGTATGTCAAATTCTCCAACCAGATGTAGAATGGTTGGATTCTCTGCCTTAAGGATTCTAGATTATATTTCTCTTAATAAAACCTTAAGCCCACTTATCTTATTTCCATTCTCTGCCAAGCCATGTGAGCTTTTCCCCTAGAGGTACACTAAAGGCTGGAACAAAAAGGTAGATTTTTATCTCAGCATGGGGTTGGGACTCCTCGACCTAGCTACCATCAGAGCCTCACTTTGCTCTCCCTTGCTTTGTCTCAGCTTGCCCGCGGTCTCCCCTGTCCTGCTCAGCCAGGTCTCTGCCACAGTCCTTCCGCATCATCAAGCCTTAGATGCTTGTTCCCTTGGGGTTCACTCCAACTGAACTGACCTTTCCTCTCATTTGCCTATGTCCAAACCCTGCCTGTTCTTCAGAGTGCATTCCAAGTCCTATCCCCACCTCTCCGATAAAATCTCTATAACCTCTGTACATTCCTAATGCTTGCTATACATATTTTTGCAAACCCACCTGACTTTTACTCTATAAATGTTACAGAGGTGTATGCCTCATTTTACCAAGCACCCTCCAAGCTCCTTGAGATCAAAGCCTACTGTATCATATTATCTTTTGTGTTCAAACAACATACGATACAAAGGTGAGTTAATTCATTGAATTAAACTTAGTCTGGGAAAATGAATGACAACTTGGAAGAATTCCTAATCAAGGGAATACAGAGCTGAGTTCCAGCATGATAAACTGGTGCCCCTGTGAGACCTGGAGGCTTTATCATCTGGGCTGTACCCACCTTGTCCTGCATTTCACTCAGGTGGGCCATGAGCTCATCCAGCTGAGCGGCTGCTGAGGTTTTAGAAGGCGGTGGTAATTCCTTTGGCTCTTGGACCTCACTACGGAGGGAAAACACACAAAAAAATGATACTAATAAATCCAAACTCAAATAAATGATAAGCTACACATAAAATAATGGAAAATGCAATTTTAATGATTAACTCTCTAGACATGAGTGACTCTAAAACCAGAAACAGAGTATATTTAAAAATAGGCCAGCCATGGTGGCTCACGCCTATAATCCTAGCACTCTGGGAGGCTGAGGCGGGCGGATCGTTTGCGCTCAGAAGTTTGAGACCAGCCTGAGCAAGAGCGAGACCCCATCTCTACAAAGAAAGAACGAAAGAAAGAAAGAACGAACGAACGAACGAACGAAAGAAAGAAAGAAAGAAAGAAAGAAAGAAAGAAAGAAATATATATAAAAAAAGAATATAGAAAAATATATAAAAAAATTAGCCGGGCATGGTGACGCATGCCTGTAGTCTCAGCTACTTGGGAGGCTGAGGCAGGAGGATTGCTTCAGCCCAGGAGTTTGAGGTTGCTGTGAGCTAGGCTGAGGCCACGGTACTCTAGCCCAGGCAACAGAGTGAGACTCTGTCTCAAAAAAAGAGTAAAAATAGGTACTAGACTAAAAATCTAAAGAAGCTCTCTCTGTCTTTTGTCTCTATTTTTCCATGGTCATCAAAATTATAAGGTATTATATCTCCTCTCAGTTATTGTCAGGCAAAAAGACAAGAAGTAAATGAGAATATAGAGCAGGCATCGACACACTAAGGTCCATGGACCAAATCTGGCCAGGGTCATTCATTTACCTACTCTTTACACTCTTTTTTCTACAGAGGTGAGTAGTTGCTAAAAAGACCTTGTCATCCACAAAGCCTAACATATTTACTGCCCGGGGCCTTTATGGAAAAATTTAGCAAATCTCAGGTATAGAAAGTTCAGATAATGTATATAATGATGGTTTCATATTCATATAATTGTGAGTAAATTATGAATAAATAAAACTTTAGACCCAACAAATGGAATACAGATTCTATTCAAGTACCAGCATAATCAATAGTAAAATTAACTATGTATGAGGATATGAAATAAAGCTCAATAAATTTTCAAAAGGACATCATACAAGCCATATTCTTAGATTGTTGTGAATAAAAGTACATTTTAACAGTCAAAATATCCACTTAAGAAAAAATAAAACACTTCTAAATAATTCTCAGGATTAAAAGAAATTAAACTGAGTTTTCAAACCATTTAGAAGTAGCAGTAAGAAAACACTTCCTCTCTTTCTCTCTCTCTCTCCCTCTCTCACACACACACACACACACATACACACACACTCTCTCTCTCAGAGTTAAAAGCAAAATGTTATTGAAAGGAAAATATATAAATAGACTTAAATGCAATACTGAAAAATATAAAAGATCAGAAATAAATAAACAAGACATTCAAGTCAAGAATCTCAAAAAAAATCTAAATATAATTAAACATTAAGAGTAAAACCATAAAGTAATGAAACAGAAAACAATACAAAAAAAAAACTGACAGTTTTTTTGGGAGCATTATGTAAAATTTCCAAGTATATAGAAAAATATGGAAAATTACCCAATTTATTCTATGAATAGCACAGAAATTGATACTAAAGTCAAAGAAAGAACAGTTTGAGAGAGAGACAGAGAGACAGAGAGAGAGAGAAGCTTAAGTAAAAATAGTAGAACTGTGGTTTTTTTTTTAATCATGGCTAAGTAGTGCTTATGCCAGTCATCCAAGAATGGCTCAATACTATGAAAAAGACTAATATAATTCATTATACTAACAAATAAAAGAAAAGCTATATAAACACACTGATAGTTGCTAAAAAAAAGCAGTGGAAAATAAATTTAACCACCATTCCTATTGTTGAATATCAAGGAGGAGAAGAAAATTTCCATAACCTGATAAAACGTGTCTATAAGAAATCAATGTAAAGCTTCATATTTAATAATCAAATATTAAACACATTTCTGGTTAGGAAATGAGCCAGACCTGGATGCTACTATCATTGCTAATCTTCAATGTTACTCTAAAATGCATTATCAAATACATTTAAAAGTAAAATATAAGAACTATATATTTGAAAAAAAAAGGCAAAGCACTCTCACTCTTTTTTTAAAGTAAATGGTATGATCACTTACCTGGAAAATGTAAGATAAATGATTGAACTATTAGAACAAATAAGAAAGGTCAGGATGGTGACTAGACACAAGAATAAAATGAGACCATATCTTCCCTATTGACCAGTAGTAAGCAATTCAAAAATTCAATGGGAAAAAAGAACATGTTCAAAATACTAACAAAAATCATAAAATAGCAAAGAATACATCTAAAAACAAATGTGTAAGACTCCTATGAAGAAAAAGCATTGACAGCCATAAAAGAAGACCCACATACCTGATTTAAAAATGGGCAAAGGACCTAAATGACATTTCTGCAGAGAAAACATAAAAATGGCCAAGAGGTATATGAAAAGCTGCTCAACATCATTAATCATCAGGGAAATGCATATCAAAACCACTATGAGATACCAGCTCACTCTCATTAGGATAGCTATTATCCAAAAGTCAAAAGATAACAACTGTTGGCAAGGGTATGGAGAAAAGGGCCCCCTGTACACTGCATTGGTGGAATGCAGCCATTATGGAAAATAGTACAGAGGTTTACAAAGACTTAAAAACAGAACTACCATATGACCCAGCAACCCCTCTTCTGGGTGTGTACACAAAGGAAATGAGATCACTACCTGGTAACCATATCTGTACTCCCATGTTCATTCCAGCATTATTCACAGTAGCCAAGATAAGGAAACAACCTAAATGTCCATTGATAGACAAATGAATAAAGAAATTGTGATACATATCTAAACACACACACATTTACATAGATACACAGACACATATTCCCCACAGTGGAATATTAGTCAGCCTTTAAAAAGGAGACCCTGTCATTTGAAAAAACATGGATAAACCTGGAGGACATTATGCTAAGTGAAATAAGCCAGACACAGAAAGAAAAAATTTTCATGATCTCAAATAAAAAGTCAAATATTTAGAGACAGAGAATAAAATGGTGGTTACCAGGGTGAGAGGAGGAGGGAGGAAATGGGGAGATGTATGTCAGAGGATACAAAGTAGCAGATATGTAAGATGAAAAAATGCTAGAGATCTAATGTGCAACATGAGCACTATAAGTAATAAAATTGTACCATATTTAGGATTCCTACTAAATGAGTAAATTTTAGCTGCTCTTGCCTCAAAAACAAAAGAAACAAATGAGTAACTATGTGATTGATGATATATTAATTTGCTTAACTATAGTAACCCAACACCCAATATACGTATCCCATAACATCATGTTGTATACCTTAAATATACACAATAAAATTTATTTTTTAACGAAGAAGAAATATGTAAATGAAGATGCATACTATGATGTCATTTTCCCCAATTAAACTGTAAATGCAATGTAATTCAAAGAAAAATCCTAATAGAATTATTCAAGTTAATTAATAAACTGATGCTAAAATGGATGGGCTGGAACACCCAAGACAATTTTGAAAAAGAAGATAAAGAGAGAAGATTTGTTTTGATAGATGTGATATCTTATAAAGACAAAAGTTAAATTTGTGTGACATTGGTAAAGAAACAGACAAATAGATAAAACAAGTAGACTAGAAAACCCAGAAACTCCTGTACCTATAAGTACTTTATATATAATAAATGTGATATTTCAAATAATCAGAGAAAGACTATTTAAATCAATGAACAACAACCTTTTTGGAACACAATGAACTTAGGTCCCTAACACATCATATACATCAATATATTTGAGACCCATTTAAGATATAAATATTTTTAGACATAAATACTAGAAAAAATGGAGGATATTTTTTATAATTTGGGGTGATAAAGGCTTCCCTAAGAGCAGCATAAAACTCTGAAAAAAGAATATCCATAGAACATAAATATTTAAAACAAATAATATTCAAATTTTAAGAGGGTATAAACTAATAATAAAACAATAGAAACCTGAGCTAAAGCTTTTTTAAAAATCAGATTTCAGAAAAAGAAACTCAAATGTTTATTACTATATAAAATATGCTCAATCTCATTAATCTTTAAATATGCAATTTAAAGCAATGAGATATCAATTTTTACCTATTAGTGAAAATTTTAAGAGATTAACAATATGTAGTGTTTGCAAAAGTCAGGATTATACATATACATAAACACTTATTTACACCATAGGTAGCTACATAAATTTATAACAACCTCTGCAAGGCAGCATCTATCAACATTTCAAATGCACATATCCTTTGATTCAGCAAGTTTGCTTCCAAGATTCTACCCTACAGAAACATTGGACATATAAATAAAGATATATGTTGAAAGACATTCATTACAGTACAGTTTTATGAGCAAATTGAAAATAAACTAAATGGAGCTGGAGGCAATTAAGTTATGGCTCATTCATGCTATAGAATAACATGTAACTGCTGAAAAGAATGCAGACATAGATTTATGTGAACTAAGAAAGACTTCCAAGATACATTGTTAACTTAAAAAAATAAAGCCCAAAACAATATGAAAAATGTCTTTCCATTTACATAAATTCATAAGCACATATACATTAAGTATGCACATGCACACACAGTCTATAAGGAGACTTTCCTGACAGCAGTTACCTATGGAGCTGGAGATTAGTAGATGGGAGAAGAGATTCTAAAGTCAGTGTCTAATTTTGTACCCTATATATACTAAAAAAATAGCTAATGCATATAGCCAACAGATGAAGTGGCAGGAGTGGCAGATGGGACATCAGTAGTGAAATTCACATGTATATCTCAGTTACTATGTATATATATATGTATGTATATGTATATACACACACATACTCATATATATATGATTCTATAAACAACCTTTAGTAAACTACATAAATTCGGTTACACTATAGAGGTTCCTATTTAAAATCATTTTTTAAATGACCTTATGTATTAATATAAATGTAATATAAAATTAAC